GTTCTTCATCCAGAAGTTTTCCAAACGGCTCTNTATTAAACTTAATGAAATTTTGATTATTCTGAAATGGTTGCTTCCACTTTTCCCTGAAAGAAAGTTGGTATTTGCAGCAAAATTTGCATAAACTGGTGAAGCAAATATCCCAGTTTTCTAGTTCTTTCCTCTGTTTCTTGTTTTTTGTAGTTCTTTCCTTGCTGATAATAACAGGTTCTACAAAAATCTAATAGAGAATTGCTAACTGCAATCCATTTTCTGCTTAAGCAAATAACTTGCTGTCCACATGAAAAATTGACTTTAAAAAGCAATTTTTTCCTGTTCCTGTTCCACAGCCTGTTTGGACTTCTTTCTAAGACATACACTTTAAAACTTCTAAATTAAATTTCTGCAACTTTTTCAACAGATTTACTAAAGTTGAAGGCTGAGTGGGCAATCTTTTTCATTTGCATGAAATGTGTTTTTTCTTGCCTTAAATGAAATTAATTAGGGCAAGCCAGAAAAATCCAGCTTTGATGTAAATCAAGCAGTTTTTTATTTAACTTTTTTTCCTTTTCAGAAATTGAATGTTTGCTAAAGTAACTTTAAAAATAGACATAGTGTCTGGYTCTGCTTGCTTTCCTTTTRGTCTTYTTCTCTGCAATATTTCTCTAGTACTTAAAAAAATACCCTTTGTAAAGTGCCCATCTTCTTCTTTTCTTTACATCCTGCACATTTTTGTGAGTTGTACTTTTTGTTCTCCATCTCTGCCTAATTTTTGGTTTTCAGGGTGCTTGCAGTTCTGTACTTGCAGTATTTGTCCTTTTGACATTCTCTGAAAGTCGTTTGCTTCTGAGTCATCTTCTTGTTCCTTTTTATATGATTCTCACAGATATAAAAACCTTTGTTTTTCTTATTCTTATAATTGACAAGAGGGCTGAATTGTTGCACTCACACAGGAACTCTCCCTACATGTACATAGCCAAACACTTGCAAAAAAAAGAGAATATTTTCTTTGATTTTGCACTTTCCATTAGACTTCACTGAAATACTTCTTCCCTTATTCACTACAAATCCTTGGATTACGCCCTAAGTATTCCTGGATATTTGATGCATTTTTCATTTATTTCCACTCATAACAGATTTTATTTTAGTTTTGACTTGTTTAGGCAATGCAAATTTGCTTGGTATTAATGTTTTAGAGCGTATTAAACTGGAAATGGATACTGGTAAAAATTTCCTGTAAAAATTACTCTTTGACTCAGAACACTTGTATACAGATTTATAATACAGACAGAACAGTACAAAAATTGGGAACAATGCAGTGGGAGTTTTAATAAAATGAAAGAAAGATGAAAGACAGGGAAATCCTGATATTGTGAAGTGTATCAGTGCGAGGGGGAGTTTTAGAATGCATAGTGGGAAGGAAGAAATAAGATGAAATATTATGTGCAGGAGAAAATTAATTGTAAGCAGCTGAATGGCAGAAATATTCAAGCTTTTACAGATGTAGTAGCATGAAACTGTAAGACATAGGGTCTTCTGTTGGTTTTTTTTTTTTTTTTTTTTTTTGGTTTTTGGTCCCTATTTTACCACTGGCAGGAGCTGGAATACACAGACTGGCAGGGAAGCCGTAGGGACACCCCATTTAAGCCTATAGTTTGATGAAAGGAAACAATTTAATTATATGCATTCTTGAGGAATATATATATGAAGTCTTAATTAATGTATTTAGAGCTCTGCTCTTCATCCAGAAGTTTTCCAAACAGCTCTATGGCCTGAGGACAAAGCATTAAAATAAAGCAGAAAAAACGATGTCCAAGAAATAATGATGTAAAGGGTGGAGTTGAACCAAATGAGCTGGAAATTGCTTTCTAGGCAGAAGGGGAACCTTTGTCCCAATGAACATATGCCTGCCTCTGGTGTGGGAGATAGCAGGAAGTTGCATCAGACCTTGCACTTCCCACCTTCAGGTGATGTTGGAGGAGCTGTCTTTGTTCCYTGACAAGACATTCCTACTTTATAAAAATACAGATCTGCAGTGATTTCTTCCCTTCCAGGCAGAGGCTGCCTGCTTCTCTTTACAGGTACTGTGGCACTTGTGCTTCCCAATCAGCATGCTCTGKTTACAGAGATGTATCTTGTCTTCTTTCTGCTCAGAAGGGATAACAGGCAAATCAGAGTTATCTTGCATTCTCCTGTCTTGATTTCGTAAATTTGTAGGTGATGAAATCTCCAGACCTGCTGGCATCAGCCACTTGTTACAAGCTGCCATTTGGGAAATTGTTCATCCTGCTATTCGTATTAAAGGTGTGCCATGCTTATGTGATTGCGAGACTCATTTTGTTTAGTTCTCACTGTCATTTTCCTTGGGCTAATATTGTCCTTTACATTTTGCAATCATCTTCTCATTTTCCTACAATCTCACTATCCCCCGTGTTTGGGGCATCTAAGGTGTTTAGGGCACCTCATTAAAACWATTTCCCTGATTTCATGTGATGCTAGGCTGAATGAAACAAATTTATTCAATATTCTCTCACAAGGCTGTTTTTTTTGATTGTCTGGATCTCCCTYCTGAGTCCCCCTCCTCCATTTGAAGACCATTGAGTCATCAGTCTCAGTGTGGCCAGAACCAGTGTATTTTGGTGAAATTTGGAATATGGTGAAAAGCATTACTGAAACATCCTCGTACAAAGGACTCCAACATACAACAGACAGAAGTCAAAGTGCTGATTTGCAATCCCTCTGATGCAAAATCAACTTTGAATTTCTTGACTTTTTTTTACATTTAATGTACAAATTCTCATATTTGAACAGGGGTCTAGAACCAGCTCTACGTTATTTTTTTTTAATTTCTCTGTAAATAAGATAGTTGTTAAGATTTTATTTAATATCAGTTCATTTTTGCAAGTTTCTTGTACTTGACACAAATGTATTAAATTGCAATGGCTGCAAATGATGCCTTTTGAATACCCTGATATGTCTAGCATGTCTCAGGTTAGCATATATTTTTATCACTTGCACAAGAGGTATTTCTGCTAAGCTCCACTGCATAGCCTTGAAGTCCTCATTGTGCTTGGTCCTGGTTTCCCTGGAAAAGGCATCCTCCAGGCAGCGCTTTCTATTGTGGTAGCAGAATATGGAACAAGTGGTTGATTCTTCCTTTTTTTTTTTTTTTTTGTTTTTTTTTTTTTTTTTGAGACTCTTTACTCTTGTTTGTTGAGGATATGCAGCCACAGACAAATGCTTAAAAGAAAGTAGAGAATTCAAGGTTTCTCCAAAGACCACTATGGAAAAATGAGCCTACGGGCTCTATAAAAGACCTAAATATGAAATTATATTGTTTTTTACAAGAATGAGCCAGAGGTGTCAAACTAGACCTTGAGAGACAGGGACTGCTTGGGTAATGCTCTGGATTACTTCAGGAGATAAGTCAGCTGTCAGACAGGAGCACACAGATCAGGCTGTCAAATCCAAGGTTTGTCCTGCTGCCACTYTTTCTTGTGATTTGGGATTATTGCAAAATATTTTTCCACTTAGGTTTCAGCTCTTGAACTTACGTTGGTGACAGGTTCCTGCTCTTTTCCCTGGGCTTTGCTCAGGTTTAAGGAAGCTGCTGAAGTGAAGATATATAAAAGTTGTAATTCAAGTTTTTATTGTCCATTCATATTGCAAAATACTTGCCAGGAAATAGATGATAACTAAATWCTATTAAAAATATTTTGCTCCCAAAGTATCCCAAACTGAGATTTTATACACATGCACACTTGAAATAGAACTTTTAATGTAGTCTGTGAAACTTGGAATTTTTTGTTAGAGGCCATTTTAATTTTTTTTTCCACACGAAATTCAGCAAAAATTATCTAAAAAATCCCACACATTTCTTCCGTCTGAATTTTTCTTCTCTAAGCAGTGACTTTACTTTTGTAAATCTACCTTTCAGCAAACCTTCATTGGTTTGCTTTCATGCTATATTTTCTGTGAAAATGAATATTGCCTTGGAAATTAATGATKAATGACTATTTATTTTAATTTAAAAGGGTACAATTCTTGCTATTTTATGCATATTGATTTGCAGCTGCTTTCTCAGGCATGTGAAATTTCCGGAAGAAATATGGAATGTGATTTGTTGCATTTCATGCAKTGTGAAGCAGATATGCTTCAGCAGTGTTTGTGCTTTTGATGAAACTCTGACGTGCTTTTCAGCCACTTAAAGATCCAAGGAGTAAAAGCAGCAATAAAATGTTGGTTGACGACTCAGCCAATCTGCASATTAACTTGAGTCTGGAATGCTGGTGTGAATTATTTCTGTTTTCCCCTCTCTCACCTCGTAATTAATTGTTGCAGTAAACTGATATGAATATGAAAGTCGTGAAATTGAACATTGTAGTGTGACTATAAATGCTACAGTTGCAACTTGGTTTAAAATGATTGGTGAACTAGGATAGCACAGACTGGACCAAAAAAAAAGCATTAAAAGGGGTTTGAAGCAAGCACCAGTTTGGGAGGGAGGTGAAGGCATTGTAGCTCTTGTGTCTGACCAGAATCAGCTTAGAAGGAAGGGCCTTAACCCACCTTCCTCTGCTGTGCAAGACAAACGGTGAGAGAACTGAAAGTTTCCTCACAGGACATGAAGTCTGGAGACAGAAACACGTGCTGGCCATTCTTCTTGGGCTGAAGCTGCAATATGTTTACTCTTCACAGCTGCATTTGCTTAGTCTATTTTTAAAAATCAAATCCTTTCACCACTACAATAAATGCTTCAAGGAATGGGGCTGTTCTGCCTGTCAAGCACATCCAGGGATTTTCATTCAGCTTGGATATGATGCATAAAGTGCTGTTTGGCACCCGTGCAGAAGCCAACATCTGCCCCTCCATCCCAGRAAGCAATTACCTGTCTGGACACATACCCTCCTTAAATTGCCTGAATGAACTTTTACACCAGCCTGGGTTCTGTGCCAGGAAGATCTTCTGCCTCCCTTTTCAAACCTATAGCTGCCTTACAGGGGAATCTGGAAGGGGGAAAAATGGTCCTTCCTCACCACATTGCTACATGCACTGGAAGAAATAAGAAAGAGGGTAAGGAGTGGGGACACTATGCCAGGGTTCATTTAATCTCTTGTTTGAATGCTGTGGAATAAAAAAAAAAAAAAAAAAAAAAAAAAAAAAAAAAAAAAAAAAAAAAAAAAAAAAAAAGCCATCTGATTACATCCTGGTGTTAAGTCTTTGTTTTTCTATGCAAGAACTCTGGGCAAATTCTTCACCTTCAAGCTACAGTGTATTTTGAGAGCAGTCTCTGGATATAAACTATATTAACTTGGAGAGTTTCCTACAAAAATGTAACTACACATGTATTTGTGATGAAAAGAGCATATATTATAGTAGCAAAATATAAACAGACTAGTTTTGATTTGCTTTGGTGAAGGAATGACTTGCTTGTTTGTTTTGGGTTTTTTCCCAATGTTCATTCTCACTTGTCTCCCATTGTGTTGTTTCTCTTTGTTCATGATTTAAACATTCTGGTATTTCTCACTTCTTGTTCAGAGTGTTTCTCTGTGTTAATTAAACAGCGATGGTGRAAAAATATCCTTTTACTTCTGTTTTTAAGCTGTTAATTTTTTGTTTATTTTTGTCAATTCAGGTCCCTCCACGGACAAGTATGGTTTTGAAACCAATCTATGCAAACTCTTGCTGAATTCAATTTACAGCCCAGCTGGATAAGAAGAAATGGTCAATCTGGCATGGGACCACCCTACTCTGACCACAGTGGGAATGAGAGTGATAAGACTCCTCATATTCTTTGAGGAAACCATGGGCTCTTACAAATTATGTAGTTTTCTATTTAATTTTTTAAATTTTGCTGATTTCTTGAGAGTTCAATTATATTCTCTCACATGTTTTCTGAACACTTGTGTCTATGTTTTTAGGTGATTGCAGTTACAATAACCCAGAATTCCAGAGGCAGGGGGTGGGTAAAGACAGTATTGCAGTAAGCAGCTCTTGTTATCATAGAGGAGCAAGTAATCAGTTTCAAAAGATGRGTTTATCTACCAGAGAGATCTTTACATGTTTTGGAGATATTAGGTGATAAATTCAGTCTTGATGATTGCAAAGTYTGGAAATTTTGAGACATATTTTCATGTTTTCTTGGGCAGGTAAATACCTGGAGTATGTGTATCTATTATTTGTGGCTAATATTACTGCTCCAAATATTTTGAGAGAAGAGGATTTAGTATCTGGAGACAAGATAAACTTTGTTAGTCTTTTTTGAGCCAGCTTCTTTCTAAATCTTCTTACAATTCTACTTTTCCTCAAAGACTGTCTCTCAASTAAATAATTCCTTTTCTCTCTCCCCAGACAAAATACATCCCTTATATTTGTCCTATGACCAAATGAACYGTGCTTTTTCTTCTGTTGAACATACTGTAATATAACAGTAACTGGTTAGTTCTCCATATTTTCTGTTATTCTCTTTCCCTGCATCTCCACCCACTCTCCCTCATCTCCTGGGCACAAGCAGTGTTTTGGCAGCCCTCATTGCGGGCATCTGAAGGCAGACACACAGTGTTGGAATGTGAACAAGAACATAATCCTGTGTGGGATGCAAGAGTTGAGATTAGCCCAGGTGCTTCACCCCTCRTTCCCAAACTGGGATTATCTGGGAGTGTGGGAATCTGCCCTGTTCTAAAGTAGCATCTCCTACACATTGCACAGCCTTCCAAACAGGTCAAAGTCTCTATAATGATGAGGGTAAATCRGTGGTTTCAAGGTGAATGATTGGAAAATTTGCTTAGAAATCAGGAGATGAAAATGGAACCCAATGTTCAATTCTTTTTTCACAGAAAAAAAGCAACAACCAAAAAGCCTCACTCTAGGTTTTGCTGCAAGTTCTCATTTCACAGTGCATTATTCTCATGATGCTCTGTAATTTGGAAACTTTAAACATGTGATGTACATTTAGCACCTTCAGGGTTTGCTTATGTGTATCACAGAAGCACATCCTGCTGTGCTTATTATGAAATAGTATGATAAGGTTGCTCTTAAATAAGTGTTGATTTAATCTGATGGTGGCACAAAAATGTGAGCAGCTACCAAACCTTTTTCAKAAACATAAGCTTTATTTCAAGTACGTAAGTTGTGAAACAGTTTATCTTTAAGATAATAAAGCTATTCTTGTCAAGAAACACATTTGAGAAAAATCCACAAAAGTACCATGAAATACAAAGATAGAAAACTCTCAGCTAGAATCAAAATAGATTAGCCAGGCCACAGTCTTGTTAAGTTTCTAGGATTTATACATGATTGGTAGCACACACAACATCAGGATGCAGCAAAGGCCAGAAAGATAGTCTTATAATCATTAAAAAAATGTTACACCTATCTTGCAAAAAAAACGGTGGGCAAGGAAAATTTGACTTATAAGGATAGCCAAAGCCAGCAAAAGATTGAGAATCATTAACAGGTGTGTTTGTCACAGACAAAGCAAACTGTTCAGTTCCTGCATGTTCACATTACCGTGTTTTGGACACTCAGTCACTTTTGTATCTGCCAGATCTGAATGGTGCAGTGGTCAAGTTAACCTAAGCTATTTTATTCAGGTAACAGAAAGCTTGGATGCTTGCAGCTATTCAGCTTTCTGAGGGGCTGTGTATTCAGGCCTGTGAACTGAATGGCTAAGGAGATTCAAATGACTGTTAATTTGGTTTTCTACCTGGAGAATGTCTAAATGGTACTTTTAAAATGCTCGTTGTAATTTTCTGGAAAATATTTATCTTCTCATGGCAGTGCGTTGAGTTTTCCCACTGCTGGTGACTCGACAAACTCTAATCAGTTTTATTTGCTTGCTGCTTAAAATCCAGAAATTATTCTCTCTCGTGACACTCGAGCAGAGAGTGCTCTATAGCAGAGTGCAAAAGGGGAGCATTCCTGCCATCAGGATGAAACACATACATTAGCAGAAATGCAAAGATCCCTCAGTAAATATTACTCCTTTGAAGATTTATGTGATCATTTGCTAGAACCCAAAACATTTCTTTAGGTCTGTCTTCCATGGCTCTTTTTTTTCCACTGGAAAAGGAATGAACAAACTAGTGAAAACCACTTTTAAAAAAATCCAAATTACCCCACAAGCTGATTTTGCTGGATAAAACTATTCTCTATGCAGAAGTCCAATGTGAAATGACTCTTCAAAGAATTTATTTAAAATTACCACTTCTGCCCATCTGTGTAGAGCTTAAAATTTATTTTTCACCTGTGGCAGGTGAAAAATCAATTTTTGACTCTTAGACACATACATCTTTAGGGAACTAAAAGAAAATATCTCAAAATTTCATGAAGCCAAAATCCAATGGAACAGATTRGAGTCAGGGACAGGGCTCTGCGGAGGCATCAAGCCATCTGTTGTGGGTAGGAACAATACCCTTGCAGCTGGCAGGCTCTGAAAGTGCTGCCTGAGSAGTCAGGAAAGGTCTAAAACCTTGKGGCAGCATGGCCATGCCCTGGTAGAAGGATGCAAAATGTTCCTCTGTGGGGGATTGCTCAGACGGCCCCAGCACTGAGCTGGGCGGCTGGAGTTTCATCAGAGGCTTTGTGGGTCCACACAAGAATGAGAGGTCAGGGTGGAGAGTTTAATAAATTGAGTATTCAGACGTTTTGATCTATCCTCTGRTATTTGGTTAATGTATTAATCTTTATTTTAAGGAATTTTTTATTCCTTGAGTCCCATTTGGATTTTTCCTCCTTTATTTTCCTTCTTTTATTAGCATGTTCATGTCAGAAGACAACAGTTTACTTGGAATTGTTTGGAGTTTGGGAAGGAGAAGGGA